GAGCAATCGATGAGACATATAGATTAGACTATCGTGACAGGAAAATGAGGCCGATGACAGCAAACAGTGATACAGTAATGCATAGTCGCAGTGTGTAGACGGGGTACTTGCGGGTTGCAGTGTCTCCAGGAATCGCAGGAATTATTAGGAGAGAAAAGGAACTAGAGAAAACTGGGCTCTCGCCTTTTCTCGTTCCTTTTATATCACTCTTTTGGCGCGCGATCACGATCGCCTGGGGTGGTCATCGGTTGACCACCAATCATGTAAATCGAGGAGTGAAATCGCAGTGGGTTGTCGCGATACCTCCCCCCACACGCGAGAGTTGTGGGGCAGTCACTTTTTGCGTCGTGCTTTGGTTGGTTCGTTCTCAGCTGACGCTTTTACATGTTAGCGCGTCCTCATGATTTCTCTCTTGCGTTCATCGATGCCTGCATTTTTGTTGACGTTGCTCGGCAATTGTGGACATGATGAGAGGGATTAAGAAAGAAGCTTCTGAAGAAAGAAGAGATTCATTGACATAAATTGCAATAGGAGATAATTGTGAAATAATTCTTGAACATCAATAACATCGTTACAACAAATTGAAAAGAAATGAAGTGAAAGAAATATGAAATAAAACTTAAAACCCACAATACAATGGCGTAGAAGGCAGCAAAGGCGGATGTGTCCAACCCGATAGTTTTGACCATGCTTTTGTCTGACCTAACTTGGTTCGCAACTGCGCTCCTTGTGACGTGGTTAGTCTGTCGAAGCTCCTGTGGTTGCTGTTTGCGCAGTCTCAAATTGTAGGAGTGACTTCCGTAATCGCTTCTTTCGCAGTTCTCGATGAGTTTTCGAGTATTACAGTGTTCATCGTTGACTTCCAGTGGGATTATAAGGTTTATAGGTCTTTTCATTCTTCTTCTCGTTGAAGTGAGTAGTTCTACTTCCCTGATGACTCCGTCTTGGGATGGCTTCACTTCGGTTATGCGCGCTAATCTCCACTCATTTCTTGGCAGGATGGGATCCATGATGAGAACCAATGTTCCTTTTTTCGGATCGTAGGGATAAGCACGGCCTTGCGATATATTTGCTTTGTGTTGCTCTCGTAGGCTCCTTAAGTATTGTTCTCTCCATATCGTCCAAAAACGATTTATGAATTTGATGGATGAGCGGAGGGCATTCACTGCCTGTTGTCGCGTTTCTAAGGATATCACTTCGTCGAGAGGCAGATAATCTGAGTCGTGAACTTTGTCGTCTATGTCTTCGAATGGAAAGGTGAGGTTCATCCGATTCTGAATGAAGTCGATAGGCCTGAGTGAGCTGAATTCTTCATAGTCGGATTCTTGATACGTCAATGGTCGCGTGTTTATCGTTGCTTCCACTTCTGTTATAATCGTTTAAAGACTGTCGTATGAGAGTTCTGCTCGGCCAATCGATTTATAGAGGGCATGTTTGAATGACTTTATTAATCTTTCGTAAAACCCTCCTTGCCATGGTGCGTAAGGAGTTATATGTTTCCATTCTATCGCATTTTTCGCTAGAAATTCTGAGATTGAGCTTCCTTTTCTCGCATCTCGCGCTGCGCTTAGAAGGAATGTAGGCGCGTTGTCGCATGTGATAGAGGAAGGGATGCCGCGTCTGGAGAAGAATCTTCGCAAGGCGTTAAGAAAGGCTTCTGTGTTCATGCTTCGCAAGACTTCCTTCAAGATGGATCATCCTTGTAACTCCACAGGTAGAAATGCATCCGTACGTTTTCCTCAGTTCTTCGTCATCTCTTGTAGGTGGGAAGTCGAAGAAGTCTATACCAATGTTTTCAAATGGTCTAGATTCCTGTACTCTGCGTATGGGAAGATCTGGGGTTTCTGGATAGCGGTACGGAGGTCCGTTGAATCGTCTGCATTTTATGCATTGAGTGGTGATATTTCTTGCTTGTTGTCGCAGTTTCGGTATCCAATATTTCTCTCGAACTGTTGCCATTATATGAGCGACTCCTCGGTG